AAAGTGGGTCCAGCTGTAGGATAATATTAGAGTTTAAGATTTTATCTCTTGGCTGATTTCCCCCTCTCTCTGTGTTGAGGCCAGACAGTATTCCAGTAAAACATTAACCTCTGTTGTTGGTTTTTTGTTTTTTGGGTTTTTTTTTTTTATGTTGTTGTTGTTCCTTGGGGTCAAGCTTATCCCAACTCTTGAGGCTATGTAGTAGCTTGGAGTCCAAGGAAATAGAAGACAGATTTCCCAGAATGATATGTAGGCAAATTTCCCGGAATGATCCTAAGGAGATAGAGACAAGTGCTAGAAGAGCATCTCCAGTGGACTGGAAAGGGGCCTCCTCAGAGAGTCCAGGCAGAGCACCCCACTTCCTGTCATCACACTCTGTCCCCAAGCATCTGTGGAGGCACACGTGAGTATAGCTACAAAAGAATTAGAAACACTGATTTTGTGGACTGGAAAGATGGCTCAGTCGTTTAGAGTACTTGTTGTTCTTACAGTACAGAGGACCTCGGTTGGATTCCCAGCACCCATGGTGGCTCACAACCATCCATAACTCTAGTTCTAGGGGTCATATGCCCTCTTCTAACCTCCACAAGCACCAGGCATGCATGTATACATGCAGGCCAAACACTAATACATAGAAAATAAGACAGTTTTTAAAAAGAAAACTAGCCTGTGTTCCAAATGCTCTTGGTCTTACTTTTCCTCCAGCCAAAATATCTTGAGTGTGTGTTTGTGTGTGTGTGTGTGTGTGTGTGTGTGTGTGTGTGTGTGTGTGTGTGTGTTTGGGGGAGGGGTTGACAATATTTTTATTAAATCTTTGAGTTTCATACAATTGCATACAATTCATTTTGAACATTTACCACCCTCTTCCATTCATCCCATAATTACCTTTTCTACCCTGCCACCCAACTTTGAGAAATCTTTTTTCCAAGTTAGGTTTCTATTGCTGTATAAAAACGATGACCAAAAGCAACTGGGGGAGGGAAGGGTCCATTTGGCTCGTATTTCCTCCTCACAGCCCATCATCCAAGGAAGTCAGGCAGGAGCTGCAGCAGAAGCCGTGGGGGAACACTGCTTACTGCCTTGCTCAGCCTGCTTTCCTATATAATCCAGGACCGCCTGCCCAGGGATGGCACCACCCACAACGGGCTGGGCTGTCCCACATCAATCCTTCATCAAAAAAAGAAAAGAAAAAAATTTCTCACGGACTTGTTTACAGGTAGTCAGTCTAATGAAGGCATTGTCTCAACTGCTTCCTCCTTCCAGATAACTCTTAGGTATGTGTCAAGTTGATGAGAAACAACCAGCAAAGATTCCCCCCTCCCCCTTTCCCCATGGAGTCCGGTTTGTGTTGCCTAGCTAGTCCTGGGAATGGGGCCTGCCTTGGTACAGTCAACCTACCAGAGCTCACATCATTAAAGAAAACTGACTCTCCCTCATCCAGCAGCTGCCAGTACCTGCAACTCTTCAGCTAGTGGTGGGATTTCATGCCTACTTTCCAGCCCACCCAACCCCATGCTGAAATTTTGTCTGGCTGGACCTTGAGAAGATCTTATTCATGCCGTCATAATTGCTGAGTTCATGTGTGCAGCTGCCCTGTTGTGTCTGGGAAACACTGTCTTCTTGATGTTATCCATCACCTTTGACTCTTATAATCTTTCCACCTCCTCTTCCATGAAGACCCTGAGCTTTGGAGGTAGGGTATGATATGTATGTCCCATTTAGCACTAAGCACTCCACAGTTTCTTATTCTCTACACATTGACCAGTTGAGGGTCTTTGTGTTTATCGCCATCACTGTAAAGGGAAGCCTCTCTGATGAGGGTTGAGAGATGCTCTGATCTGTGGGTATAGCAATATGCCATTAGGAGTTGTTGTAATACTAGGTCCATTTGGCAGAGTAATAGAATTGGGTCTCCAAGGCCTGTGACTTACCCAACCTCAGGTTCTTAGTTCCTTAAGCAGTGTTAGATATGGCTTCCATCTCATGGCGTGGGCTTTAGAGCTAATCAGAAAATCGTTGGTCACTCCTATAACATCTCTGCCACTATTGCACCAGCAGGTGGATTTTGTCAGACTGATCATTCACTGTAGCTTGCGGGGCTCACAACTGGATGAGAATGATGGTGGTTTTTCTCCTTTGAAAGTATGCCTAGCCCCTTCCAGTTGAGTACCAGCTTGATTTCTCCATGTTCTGATTCCAGTATGTGGTGTCTTCAGCAATAGCGCTTAATGTCAAGTTCTGGAATATAACCAAGGGGGTTGGCAAAGCCTATAATGAATGCTTTGGGGTCTATGTGACCCCATTGTTGGGCATTATTTAAAATATACTGCATTTGCTTCTTTCTCTCTCTGAAGATAAATCCTCAGTGGAATAAGATCTCTATCCTAAGAAGCTCTTTAAAAAAAATAACAAAAATGAAAAGAAAAAAATAACAACAAAACAAAACAATGTCTGAACTGTGAAGCTACAATTTTAGACAAGCTATGACTTAGTGTATGAATAGCTTTGGCCTTTTGTTATTCAACTTTTATTTTATGTGCATTGATATTTTGCCTTAGTTGTGAGCTGCCACATAGGTGCTGGGAATTGAACCTGGGTCCTCTGTAAGGGCAGCCAGTGCTCTTAACCACTGAGCCATCTCTCCAGCCCCTGGTCTTCTTATTTTAAATGACCACACAGATTAGAAGTATGGGTGGATTGAGGTTTTTCCTTTGAATCTGATGCTCAGGAGAAATGCCTTATTACAGAGGAATCATTTCCATACTCATAGAGGCAAGTCTGTCCACAGTAAATGAACAGCAAGGATGAGGGCAGTCAGGATCTAATAGAGCAAAAGGAAAGAACTTATCCAAGAGATTGGCAGAGACTCAGGACACACTCAGCCTGGCTTTTATCATTTCAGACTGTGCTCCTGTGATGTCTCGCTCTTTAACCTCTGAGTCCATTGGGTCGGGATCCCAGACTTCAAACCCTTGTCTCCATTACTGTTATTATAATTATGGGTATGTTACTGTAGGTGTGTGGAGGTCAGAGGACAACTTTCAGGAATTGTTTCTCTCCTTCCACTGTGTGCTTCCTGGGGATTGAACTTAGGTGGTCAGGTTTGACTGCAAATGCCTTTACCCACTGTACCATGTGGTTGATATATTGTGTACCCCAATAAACTTATCTGGGGGTTAGAGAACAGAACAGCCATAATATTGAACATAGAGGTTAGACAGTGGTAGCACACGCCTTTAATCCTGGCATTCCAAAGGCAGAGATCCATCTGGATCTCTGTGAGTTCAAGGCCACACTGGAAACAGCCAGGCATGGTGACTCACGCCTTTAATCCCAGGAAGTGATGGCAGAAAGCAGAAAGGTATATAAGGCGTGAAAACCAGGAACTTGAGCTGGTTCAGCTTTTAGGCTTTTGAGCAACAGTTCAGCTGAGACCCATTCGGATGAGGACTCAGAGGCATCCATTCTGAGGAAACAGGATCAGCTGAGGAATTGGCAAGGTGAAGTGGCTGTGGCTTGTTCTGTTTCTCCGATCTTCCAGCATTCACCCTAATACTTTAAGATTTATGCTACAGTACCAACTCCTTGGCCTGTGGACATCTTTCAAATCTTTGGGAAGATAACCTCACTTATCACTGTGTGCAAAGCAGCCACCCCCACTCACTGGCTGTAATGCAGAAGGAGCCTCATTCCCTTCCAGAGGAATGATTCTTGCTTGTTCTCTCTGTTGGCAGGGAGACTGTTGAGCCTGAGGCTTCTCTTGCCCCTAAGAAGCTTCTCTAGTTAAGGAAGGGAATATAGAACAGAAGCAATTGTAGCTTGGGCTCTATGGTCATGTTTTGTCTGGTCTGCATGTTGTTGGGTTGTATGTAGTTATGATGATGGTGATGGTAATAATGGTGATGGTGGTGGTGGTAGTGATGGTAATGATAGTGGTGATAGTGGTGATGATGGTGGTGGTGGTGATGATGATTGTGATGATGATGGTGGTAGTGGTGGTGGTGATTGCTCCCTTGGCCAGTAAGTCTGGGAAATGCTGGATATACAAAGCTCATCTGGGGAGTAATTTGAAACAAGATTTATATGAGGCTTTAATGGCTCCCCCAGGGGTTAAGCAAGAATTCCCCATGGTCTCATCTTCCCTACACATATTCCTATAAATGGATGTGGACCACAACAAGCCATTCCTGCTACCAAAGTTAAATACACTCTAAAAAATCCAGTTCATTATGTTGCCTTACTCAAACATAAAGATAGACACCTGTAGCACACTGTCTGGCTCATGTCCTTGACAGTGCAGTGTAGGTTAACACTGGCACACTGTCTGGATCCTATCCTTGACAGTGCAGTGTGGGTTAACACTGGCTCACTGTCTGGCTCGTGTCCTTGATAGTGCAGTGTGGGTTAACACTGGCTCACTGTCTGGCTCGTGTCCTTGACAGTGCAGTGTGGGTTAACACTGGCTCACTGTCTGGATCCTATCCTTGACAGTGCAGTGTGGGTTAACACTGGCTCACTGTCTGGCCTGTGTCCTTGACAGTGCAGTGTGGGTTAACACTGGCTCACTGTCTGGATCCTGTCCTTGACAGTGCAGTGTGAGTTAACACTGGCTCACTGTCTGGA